TTTTGTGACAATCGAATAGCCCAAAAATTTTATTCTTGAGTAATGGCATCCCTAACATGTTTTTATTTTGACATTTTCTTAAATGCGCGAATTTTTACTACACAGTTCGGTTTTTGGTAACTGTTTTAAATAATGTAAAGGATTTATTAATTGAAGTATACGATATACCATGGATTTAAACTGGTGCAGATTGTGTGTCAATGTTGTTAATAGCAGCATTGCGCAGAATTTATTTGAAAACAGAGAAACTATGCGAGAAGTTCAGAGCCTGCTTGGTATTGAGGTATTATGACCAAATATCCTAGTACTTTAGTAATATAATTGACTGAATAAATTTCATTTAATTGCATTTTAGTTACGAAATGATGTAGGCTTACCACCATATATATGTGAAAATTGTGAAACAAATTTAGAAATAGCCTATAAATTTCAAATGAGGTGTTTACGAGCACAAAATTACTTTTCCTCGAACAAATTTCAGGAGCGATTAAGTGCACAATATGACTATTTTTATAAAAACGAAAAGATAAACAATATTTCGCAAACAATGGTTGACCAAAAAAATGAAGAAGTTAGTGATGATGATTTTACTGAAGATATATCCTCAAAAACAGTTAGTTTCGATTTTAATGATATAATTGAGGAAAGTTTAGAAAATAGTAATATTAATGTAGAATCTGTATCCGACGAAAGCGCAGTACAAACTAAACCCATATTTATGTTAGACAAAAAACCTACATTACATAAAAAATCAAATCCAAAAAACACAACTAATCGAACATGGGTATGCGAATTTTGTGGTCGTATATTTACTGCACATAATCATTATCATTATCACATTCGAAGACATAAGGGTATAAAAAAACACGCTTGCAAGTAACGATTTCAAATATTTCGTATATTAGTTATTAGATTTATTGAAATTGAATTTCTTTTCCTAGATATTGCCCCAAAAAGTTTGTGGGTAGTAATGAGTTAAAAATACACGAGCGTGTACACACTGGGGAACGGCCATATAGTTGTGTTTATTGCGAACGTAAATTTACATGTGCATATCAAAGAAACCAACACGTGGGGTAATAATTAATGTAAATATTTATTTAAAATAAGAGGTAAAAAGTTTTTGTTTTAGACGCATGCATACTAATAACCGTCCATATAAATGTGAATTCTGCACTAAAGGCTTTACAAACAACAAGTGTTTAAAACAACATTTACTGATCCATAATAAAGACCGAATCCATAGGTAAGGTTCATGCATACAGTGAAAAGAGCCAGTGATATTTATGACTGTGTACTTTGTAGCTGTAATCTCTGTAACAAAACATTTGCATACGAATGTAATTATCATACTCACTGCAAATCACAAACGCATAAAGCAAGAGAGAAAATGATGAAATCTATAAAAGATGATTAATAAATGTATAATTATAGATAAATAAGTGTAAATAAATAAATAAAGATTAGGTATATATTTTATTAATGGTTGAATAATTCCTCTTTATGACGTGGTATATATTTTAGTTAATATATTATACATACCTATATTAGAATGTAAAGGTAATAGTTATTGAATTTCAATTTTACAGTTAGCATCGCTTTTTTTTTATAATATAA